GATAGATAGATAGATAGTGGGCTCAGGGTAAGGTGAGCAGCCCTGCCTGGTGGCTAGATTGACCTGCCTTCCTGCTGGGGATGGGTCCAGCGCCCCGCCTCCTGTTCCCCAGGCCATCTGGCAGTCACCTCTGCAGCCATGACCTCTGCTGGCTGACCCCAGGCCCTGGACACACCAGTTGCCACTCCCACTCTGGCCACTGCCTGCCCCATTGGGTTCAGTGGGATTCACAGTGCCATTTTCACCGTGTAAACTTTCAGTGCAAGAAACACATGTGTGGGTGGTGGGGATTGTTGCCCGTGACTGTGCTAGCAGCCGTGGCTGGGAAGAGTGTGAGTCCTCTCAGGTGGCCGCAAATGCTGGCTGAGTCTACCTAGGACCAGAGCTTGTTGCCCGGCCTGCACCAGGCCTTGCTCTGCTGCAGGCAGCAATGCACAATAGAAAAAGAATTTCCTTTTCTGTCACCTGTAGCTCCTCATTTGACTGAGCAAAGCTAGAGGGCTTGAGCTCTTTTGGTGGCATCTTTGTTCTGCCCTCATTTTCCCGCTCAGGACTTGATGCTAAACCAGTGCTCCAAGCCAAGTCCTTTGCTGCTGCAAAACCCCTTCCATCCAAACCCCAGAAAAGAAAAGTAAATGTAGGAATCAAGCGTGCAAAAGACACTTTGATGTACATAGACCTCTTTGGGTCTTGAGAGTATTTCTCCCATTCTGACAACCTTTTTCTTTTTGGCTTCTTGTAAGCCTAATTTTTTTTATGGCTTCACTTGAGTTCTTTTATCTCTCTGGACCTACTGAACCCATTTCAGACCCTAGTGAACCTCAAGGACCCAAGTTGTACATCTGATGAAATGCCAATATTACTGCACTCCTCTGCTGAACGGTGAGGACCAATGCAGTCCTCCCTGCTATGGCATGGACAGTGAGAAGCATCCCATCACACACCTGCTTCTCCTCACCACAGTCCCTCTTCAGGGAGCAATTCCTGTGTACTGTGCAGCTCTTGATGTTCCCAGGGCGAAATGATGGGAGGTAGAAGAAATAAAGCTACAAGATGAGAGCTGAGGTCAGTTAGAGTCCCCTCTGTCCTGATGAGAGAAAAGGCACTGCCCACTGCAGAGTTTTATTTATACCCTCAGGAGATTGAGGTCACTTTGAATGTCTCTGCTTGGCAACCTGTTTGCAGGCTGGAACAGCATGTTTGCATGGCTCTGGGACCTCCACATGCTTTGTGGCTGGCTCTATCCTAGCTGCACATATGTCACTGATTTCTACCTGCAGCCACACCCTACACTGCAAGGCTGAAGTGCACACTGAAGGGTGTCATCTTCCTGAAGCTCTGGGAGCTGTGTGCATCTTCCCTACAGTGTTCCAGGGACTGGCACTGTGGTGAAGATCGATGGACATCAGGTTGGGACATTGTCCTAGGGTAAGAAAGGGTGCAATGCATTCCCCGGACCTGTCATAGAAGACAATTCTCTCTGGTTGAGGCGCAAGACACAGGGTGCAGAGAAGGTCAGGAGGACCCAGGCTGAGAAGGGATTCAATACTGCAGGCTTGGAGGGGGGTCCAGAGCACAGAGAAGAGGAGCCCCAGAGAACCAGGAGAGAGAGACCTAGGACCCTCATCTGAGACCAGGAGCAACATGTGCAGCTGACACCCAGACCCACAAGGAGCAGCTTCTTTCAGACCTCCTGGTGTGGGCTCAGCGGGCCTCATGTGCATTTGTATTCTGACATGGAAGCAAAGGTGTCTGAACCTCTGAACCTTGTAGACCCCCAACCTATCAGGCCCTTCACGCGGAACTCAGGACAGCCTTTGTTGCCCTGCTGCTCCCTGGGCTTAAACCAGGAGTCCACACCAACACAAACACAATACACTGAAGAGGGTCTTCTTCATTGTTTATTTGCAAAAGGGTCTTAAAAAGTACAAAAATAGGCATTTAATTAGAGGTGAGTTGGAGATTCCCATAGAAAAATAAATACATAAATAGTGATTGCGTGACAATAAATTAAGGCACATGCTGGACACTGAAACAATATGGAGTCTTCTTTGGCAGGAGGCAGGAGGGGTCCAGGACTCAGGCACACAGGTCAGGCCTGGCAACACATCTCAGGTCCCGGGTGAGTAGGCGGAAGAGGTTCAAGGCAACAGAGGCCTGGAGGCAGCCACGGGACTCCTGTGGGGACACAACAGGGCTCAGGGGCTGCCCACTGTCTGTTGCCCTGGTGCCCAGACACTGACTTCTGCTCTCTCACCTTCTTGGAGGCCTGGTTGAGCCTCTGCAGGAAATGGGACAGGCGGCGGCTGCGGGGCCTGCGTTGTGCTGTGGGCGAGGACAGGACCTGTGGGCGGAGAGGGGCTGTGAGCTGGCCCTACAGGGATGGTGTGGGCCAGAGCTCAGGATGTGCACAGGAACCCAGGACTCACACAGGCCTGCAGCTTGGCATAGATGTGACGCAGGGTGTGGAGGGGCTGCTCCAGGATGTCCCCAAGGGATGGGTCAGTCACGGTGCCCAGGACCTCCAGTGTCAGGGCCAGCTCAGCCTGCAGGGCCACGGGGCGCTCCCACACCTGGACAAGGAGATGGGCACAGGTGAAGGATGCTCAGACAGAAGACAGAGCAGGGGCAGGGGAGATGAGGAATCATTGAGGGGAAGGTGGCAAATTAAGGGACAAGGGAGAAGCAACACAGTGGCCCAGGATGGGGGTGAATGGATGAGGAGCAGCATGGAAGGACAAACAGGGAGAATAGAGGAGGCCAACGGGCCCAACAGCAGTCAGGAGGCTGGCTCCAGCTGAGCGCTGGCTGCACCTGAACCCACTCACCTGCAGCTGCCTCAGGTCCCAAGTCCTGGGGAAGAGGTGCGCTCTGCACCTGGAGTCCTTCAGCAGGAGCTGCTCTTCCTAGACAGCAAAGGCTAGAGTTAGCTCACTCTGGGGGCGGGGCTTGTGCCAGTGCAGTGGGGTAGGAGGATGGTTCCTGGCAGGAAGGTGGCAAGTTCAACCCCAGGGGTGGCAGAGACCCATCGACTGCAGGGGACATAGTGGGACATTGCAGTAGGAGCAGGAGGAGGTTAAGAGCAGTCAAATTGGTCTGAGCCTGCTTGCAGAGGGAGGAGCTTAGAGCTCTGTGTGGGAATTTGAGGTGAGCCCACCTCAAGGAAAGCTTGGTCCACTTCTGGGCTAGGTGTAGAGGGAACTCACAGAGGTACGGCTGGAGAGGAGCCCCAGGACAGGCATTCAGGGGAGACTCACACAGGCATCCTTGGCTGTCTTGAAGGCCTGCAACTCTTGTGGTGACAGAGACTGGAACTGGGCTATATGACATTCCCTGGTGTCCAGGGAAACGTGGAGCTTTCTGACCACAGGAACAGCCCCTGTCCTGGACTGCACTGTGGCCAACAGTAGCAGCAGCAACAGCAGCATGGAACCTCCTGTGAGATCTGTGTGACAACGAAACAGTGAGTAAGGTGCCATCGGGTGCCCAAGGCTCAAGGGCTGTCCTGGGTGGTGACAGCCATGGCCATGGTGTGGGTCTCACCTGGCTTCATCCTGCTCTTGTCTCTCTGTGGCTGATGGAGACCAAATGTGTACCTCTGGCTGGCAGCTCTGGGCTCTACTTCTGTTGGCCTTGGAGTCTTGAGCCTCAGTGTCCCGTGTGGATCTGGGCCTGGTGCTCTGTGACAAGGTGTCTCTGGGTGTCCAACTCTGTCAGGTATGCCACTCTTGCCTCAGCTCCGTGGTGCTGCTTTTATCCTGGACTGTGGGACTATCCCAGCTGATGTGTGAAAAACGAAAACATAACCTGAGATTGTCACAGATGACCACTAGGGGAACCTCAGCTGGGAAACCCAGAGGGGGCGGAGCTCCAGCCAGGTGAGCAGGAGGAAGGAAAGAGAAAATGCCAGGTGCTCAGGCACAGTAGACCTCAGGTGAGTTCTGAAAGGAAACCTGGGATCTGAGGCAACTTTTCTACATCGTGG